GTTGATATCAGAGCTGGACTGACCACCAGCTTTCTGACTCTAGTCTCAATTCTCCACCTCCCCCATTATTCCCCTCCCACTCTTTTTTCTTTTTTTATATCATCATCATTAAAATTTTGATCACAGTAATGGTTAACCCTGAGCACTTACTGTTGGTCAGTCACTGCGCTGAGATGTGACACATTTGCTAATTGAATTGATGCAGTAATGCAATAATACAGATAGTTTTTGTCCATTTTGTGAATAAAGAAACTGAGGCTCTGAGAGATAAAATACTTGCTCAGTTATACAAAAAAAAAAAAGTGGCAGCCTTCCTTGCCCTGCTGGAAAACTTTCTATCCTGTTCTCTGTGCTATGTCAAGCTAAGGACGGAGTAAAAAAAAATTCCCCAGAGCTTGCAGCTGAACAATAATAGTACTGTTGACCCTTGAACAACGTGAGGGTGAGGGGCACCCACCCCTGCATAGTCGAAAATTCATGCATAACTTAACTCCCCCAAAACTTAACCACTAATAGCCTACTGTTGACCAGAAGCCTCACCAATAACATAAGCAATTAATGAACACATACTCTGTATGTTATATGTATTATATACTGTATTCTTAGAATAAAGTAAGCGAGAGAAAAGAAACTGTTATTAAGAAAATCATAAGGAAGAAAAAATACATTTATAGTATTTATTGAAAAACTCCACGTGTAAGTGGACCCATGCAGTTCAAACCCATGCTGTTTAAGGGTCAACTGTATTTACTCTGCGCTGGTACTGTTCTCAGCAGATCACATAGATGAACTCATTTACCCTCATTTTGTTCCTGTAAAGCAGTACTTTCTAACACTATTATTCGCCCCATTCTACTGCTAGGAAGACCGAGGCACAAAGGTTTAATAATTCATTGTGGGTGCCCCAGATAGTAAGCGCAGAGACGGCATTCTGGCCCAGGCTGTCCAACTCTGCTGCCCAAGCCCTTAATGTTACTAGACTGACTCTCCTGAAATGAACAGGGGACCGACTCTGGACTAAGTGGACCCGGCTATCCCAGATGCCCTTGAACTATGGCAGGCAGTGTCACATCTCCAAGACCCTCGCCCTGGGGCTGGAGCCATAGGATGTCACATAAAGTAGCATCCCCATTCCTCTCCGTCCCCTTAGGCTGCTTTCCTCTTCAAGAACTTCCTGGCATTGTTACATATTTAAATTTATTTATTGCCATTTCTTGGGACCCCCACTTGAATATAAGCACCACAGGGTGATGACTCCATTGTACTCACCTCCCAATGTCCAGTGCCCGGTAGTAGTAGTAGCCTCTCAGTACATATTTGTGGAGTGTCCTTTGGCAAGTCTAAGGGTCCTGTGAGTCAGATGTGGTAGAGCAAGAAAGGGCTGGCTTGTCCTGTCCCAGAGGGAAGCTGTTACTGTGGGAATTATGGGTGCTTCCCGGGCAAAAGGGAGACGATGCATGAGTGGGGAGGGGATGCTTTGGAAGCAAAGTGATGGAGAAACAGGAGTGAATCCTGAGGAGATCTCCCAAGGAGATCCAGAGCCCAGCTGACTACAGTGGGTAGGGAGTAGACCCCATTTCCAGGGCTGACAACAGAGCCCATTGTACCAGGCAAAGTGCTGGACTCAAGAAGAAAAGAGAGCTGGGGGAGCTTCAGGCGATGAGTGGGAATCCAGGCTCCACGCTAGGTGAGCAGAGCGCGGGGCTGAGCCACCCCAGACTCCAGAGTCCAGCAGCTGGGTCCAAGGAGGTCTGTGAAGAGACTGACACTCTCTGTTCCTCAGTTCACCTGTAAAATGGTGGTAATAGCGTCACCTATATCGAGATGTTGCATATGGAAGTGTTCAGGGCAGCCCGGCCGGGTGTGGCTCAGTGGTTGAACGTGGACCTGGGATCCAGGCGATTGGGGTTCGATTCCTGGTCAGGGCACATGCCCAGGTTATAGGCTCGATCAATGACTCTCTCATCATTGATGTTTCTCTCTCTCTCTCTCTCTCTCTCTCTCTCCCCCTCTCCTTTCCTCTCTCTGAAATCAATAAAGATATATTTAAAAAAAAGAAAAAGAAAAGAAAGTGTTCAGGGCAGTGCCTGGCACACAGCAAGTGGTGCATAAGCATGAGCCAGGATGACTGTCAACACGCCTTTTCCTGTTATTATCACAGGGAGCCCACCTGGAGACACGGGCTCGGCGTTAGGGGCATGGACACCCCCAGGCAGGAAGCTGCAAGGACAGTCAGGCAGCCAGCTGTCCACACCAGTGTGCTCTGCCCCCAGCCCATAGCGGTGGGACGGATTCATGCTCAAGACTTGAGAACATGGAGAAGCCAGGCCTGAGTTAGAATCCTGGCTGTTGTTTTCTAGCGGTGTGTGTTGGGGTTTTCCACCCAACCTCTCTGTACCTTCGCTTCCTCATTGGCAATGTGGGGAGACCAAATGCACCCACCTCATAGGTAAAATATTTAAAATAGCGCCCAGGGTTAGTTTTTATTACTCATGTAGGCAGTAGAAAGCTTAGCACTTCAGACCTATGGAAACAAGGCTCTAGACCAGGGCTGGGGAATCTTTTTTCTGCCAAGGGCTATTTGGATTATTTATAACATCATGCACGGGCCATACAAAATTATCAACTTAAAAATTAGCGATGAAAAAAGCCCCTAGATTTATTGAGTTTCGAGTCCCACCTGTGGTTGCCTGGGCAGGGCCAGACCAAATGATTTCTTGGGCTGTATATGGCCCTCAGCCTGGATATTTCCCACCCCTGCTCTGGATGAACCTTTGTTGATGCTGTGGAGAAAGCATCTTGCTTTGGTGGACTGTCTAGATCATGGGCGGCATTTCCCCAGCGTGGCCACTAGATGGCACACATGTTCTTTCCTGCCCGTGAGGCCCGCGCTGGGAAGCGGTCCCCCGCCAGCCCGGCGCAGCCTGGGCTACATTCTCATTTACTCCTCACCGCGATCCTCCTAGGAAAGAGGCACCCCCCGAAACGCTGAGCCTCGCCTGGCCCACGGCAAGGCCTCAAAAAGGGTTTGCTGTTCTTCCTATTATGGTGCTGCTGGTCCCACTTCTACAGTCAGGACGGAGGCGGGGGCAGGGTAAGGGGCTAGGTGGAGACGGGATGCGAAGCCAGACCTGATCCACTGCAGGTTCAGCATCTTTCCCCCTAACTCTCATTTCAGGGGAATGAGGGGTGCCTTGGGCTCGCTTCATGCACCCCCACCATGTCCGCTTATGCTCTCTGACATTTTCTGGGGCTACTAGATTCTTACTTCCTGTGTGATCCTAAATTAGTTATTTAGACTTTCAGACCCTCAGTTTCTCGTCTGTACAGTAGGAGTCATTACACCTTCCTAATGTTGGAGATACTTCAGAAACGGCAGTTAAACCAGCGCTGACACTGCATGCCTCATGGTCACTTATTAATGCCTCACGTGTTAACATGGCCAGGCTCCCTCCCTCCCTCCTTTTTTTTCCTTCCTTCTTTCCCTCCCTCCCTCCCTTCCTCCTTCTCTGCACCTGGAACTATAGTGTACTCATGGTTCCTGACCTCATGGTTCCTGCCCTTATGGACCTTACAGTCCAAATGTCCTGGTCTCTGTTCATTCCTGGGACAATTCCACCCCCAGGGTGTCTTCTTTCCTTTAGGCCACAGGGATTTGGGCACCACCACCTACTCTCTCCCCTGGGGTCCCTCTTTCTGCAGGACCCCATCTGTGCAGGCCACGCAGCTCAGGCCCCATCTCCCCCCAACTACACTGCTCCAAATATGTGCAAGCCCACAGATTCCTTGGGTTCTGCTGGGCACCCTCAAATCCTGCTACCTGACTCCTTTCATTCTGCTTCATCATTGATTTTCTTTCTTTTTTTTTTTTTAAAAAAAATATATCTTTATTGATTTCAGAGAGAGGAAGGGAGAGGGAGAGAGATAGAAACAGCAATGATGAGAGAGTCATCATTGATCAGCTGCCTCCTGCACGCCCCCGACTGGGGATCGACCCCGCAACCCAGGCATGTGCTCTGACTGGGAATCGAACCTCGATCTCCTGGCTCCTAGGTCGATGCTCAACCACTGAGCCAAGCCCGGGCACCATTGGCTTTCAGATTGGCTTTGGCATCCAAGGATTCTGCTAGGATGCCTGCAGACCTTTGGGAGGGAGACACATGATAGGAAGATGGGCCCTCATGGCTCATCCTTGCTGACAGTAGAACAAACAGCTCCGGTTTAATCTGATTTATATTCTGGGGTTACAGGTAATATTGTACTGCTAAAGAAAAACATCAAAATCTAGTCCACTCTACCATGATGGGTGGGAGGGAGATGAATTTTGAGATAATTCAGAGAAAATCTCCAGGAAAGAGAACATTTTTGGGACTGCGTTTTAAAATTAATTTCCAAGGTGCCAAGTGAAATAAGCCAGCCAAAGAAAGACAAATACTGCATGGTATCACTTATATATGAAACCTAAAAAAAAAAAATTAAGCTCATAGAAACAGAGAGTAGATAAGTAGTTGCCAGGGGCTGAGGGTGGGGGATGGGGAGACGGTGAAAGGGCACCGATTTCAGCTGTAAGGCGAATGAGGTTTGAGGATCGAATGCATGACATGGTGAGTAGAGGTGGTAACACTGTCTTATATAATTGGAACTAGCTAAGAGTGTAGAACGCACATGTTCTTTCTCCTCCAGACGATAAATCCATGTGAGGTGATGAGTGTGTTAATTTACACGTGGGGGACACCCTTTCAATGTATACGTATATCAAATCACAACCATGTACACTTTAAATATCTTACCATTTTGTCAATTATACTTCAATGAAGCTGAAATAAAATTAGTTTTTCAAGAAAAATGGGGGTTAACATTTGAGTCATAGCAGTCTGTTGGTTATCTGGAACCCCACTTTCACCACCATTGACTGGACTAATTGGGGCTGACTGCACGCTTCTGACCTTGGTCGTGTCCTGCCAACCTGCCTCTCAGGACTTTGCCTTTCTGTGTTGCAGTGCCCTGGTTCCCAAGGACCATTCAAGATCTGGACAGATTTGCCAACCAGATCCTCAGCTATGGAGCGGAGCTGGATGCAGACCACCCCGTGAGTCCATGACCCTGCCCAGAAAATTATTTCAGCTCCTCCCCTCCCCCATCCTACTCTGGAGCAATGTAATGTGCCTTTATTTGTCTGTTTGAACAGCAATCATTTATTGAGCGCCTACTCACACATCATCATCATGGTCAGTATCATTGCTGGGGCAAATATCCAGAAACTATTATTTATGTATAATACATACATGTGTGTGCACACACACAGACACACTCAGATATGTAAATCATCTTTATTTCTCTGACTTTGTACAGTCACAGGGGATTAAACCTGTGCTTGGGAAACAGTCTACTAACAACTCTTCCAGGTCCAGGGAAGCGTGGGGGTGGCGACATTGACCTGGATCTTGAAAGGAGTGGAAGATGCTAGTCAAATAAGGAGACAGGAGGCGTCATGGTGGAGGGAACAGTGCGTGCGAGGCGCAGGGTCCTGAAGGTGCCCAGAGTATTTTAGAAGGGCTGGTCGGTGTGACCGGTATGAGGACCAGGTTTTAAAAGTTCTGGTACCAGACAGAGAACTCAGACTGTCTTGCGTCCTACGGCGGGGAGGGTGCCCTGTACCGGTTTCTGGGTAGAGGACCAGGGTGGGGAGATTTGACCCAACCTCTCCCCTGGGGTGGAGGGTCCTGGAGAGGAGCAGCCCAGCCTGGGCTCGGAGCCGGTTCTGGCAGCCTCCGTAGGCAAGAGATGCCACCGCCATCACGTTCACTGGCCTTTACTGTCCTCCCAGGCCAATGGCCCCCATTAGCCTTTAAGTGACTTTAAGGCTGTTCCCATTTGCAGGGGGTTAGGGAGCATCTGCATTTCCCCCAGAGTCTGATTTCTCCTCACATCACGGGGGCCCTTACAGTTGAGTAAGCTGTGAATGATCCCCTTTGACACGTCTCTGTCTGGGGCCTCTTGGCCATGGGCCCTGAGAGCAAAGCATCTCCAAAGATACCGTTTCTTTGCAAAGATGTCTGGTCGCCTTTGACCCAGTCCATGGGGTCGGCCCATCTTGGCCTTTCTCCTCTTACCAACCTCCAGTCCCCCTGCCCTGACCCTCGTCCCTCCCGTTGGCCACACCCCCTGTCATCTGGGGATGGGGGGGAAAAGGCCAGTCCAGGGACGTGGCCACCTCCCCACCTCTGTCCTGGTGTGTCTTCTCGGAGGCAGATGGGGCCGATCTTAAAACCCTGGAATTTATTCCTCCTTATGGACCCAGCCCACATTTTTGGCTCCCTGGCCTTTCAGTGTCATGAATTTTATCATAAAAATGCACTTTATCAGGTACACAGTCCTCCTGAGGAGGAGCCAGGCTCTCTCTGTTCCTTCCTGCGGCTTCTCGTCATATCTGGGAGCTGACGGGCCAAGGACAGCGCAGGCCCTCCAGGGTGCGAGCAGAGGTGCGTGTTCCTCGGACAGGACCCTCTGTTCCGCCCCGTCCCATGGCACTCTGGGAGCTCGCCTCTCCCTGACCCTGCTCTTGGCAGTGGCACCGGTGTTTGACCCAATAGCCCACGCCAGGGCCTCCAGAACAGCCGCTCAGAAATGAGGCCAGGGAAGGACTGTTCCCGAAACAGAGGCGAAGGGCTCCTGCGGTGGGGGAAGGAAACAGGGCAGCTGTGCTCCCCTCTGGCATCGCCTTCCCTCCGTCCCTGTCCCTTTCTTCCTTCTACTGTGTTGATTAAGTGAATGACACTCAGAGCTAACGTTTCTTGAGCTCGGATTGTATGCCAGGCCCTGTGCTAAATGCTTTACCTGCATTTTCAAAACTTAAATGACCTAACCCATGGGACAGTTGTACTTTCTCGTTTTCAGATGAGAAATCTCAGCAGAGGGGGCAGTGTCCCCAGTGTCTGTGAACTGTGTCCCAGACCACGTGCAAGGAAGGGGGTTGAAATGATTAAATAGGACATGGTCCCGGCCCCCAGGAGCCTCCCGTTGTAGGGTTGAGGGAGGAGGGCTGACTACTCTCCCCAAAAGGGTGGCCGAGGAGGAGGTTTGCAACCGTAAGCCTGGCAAGCAGGATCCAAGTGGGTCTGTTCAGTTTCCATTTCTAAAAGCGACTCTCCTTTCTCCAACCACACTCAGCCTCTGCTCCCGTCCACGTTGCTTCCTTTGCCGGGGATGCTTTTCCTTCTGCCCCCCAGCTGCTCTCTCCCTGCCGGAAGACCTCTATTTGCTTCTAAGGCCCAACTCATATACCTTGGCCTCCCTAGCGCCTTCCACCTGCCTGTTGCCCAGGCCCAGTGGCTCTCACACTCAATGCTGTAGAGCCGTAGGCACGGCGATTTAGACTTTGATCAGGTCAGAATAAATTCACTACTTCATGACCCATAATAACCTCATAGGAGGCATAAGCTAGAAATGCAAGTGAGAGGGTCATAAGCATGTGTCCTGAGCTACAGTCTACGAAAAAATCACATGATCAAAGGGAGGAACACTGTTTCTGAAACTCCGTCTTCAGCATGTACAAGTTTCACGGTCTCATTAGAGGCTTTGGAAAGTCCTGCAAAAATGAAACCCATGTAACCTAAGGTTTCTCAAACTTATTTACCCATGGAACCCCCTTTAAGCCCCTAGCAACATTATCTTGAATGGTAGTGTTCCCTGGAATACAGTTTGGGTAATATTTGGTTAAATCATAAAGCAAAGACGTACATGATTAAACACCAGGTTTAATGAGTCATACGGTCTGTGCTGTCAATTCTAATGTCACTGTGGGCGGAATGGTTAGGGAGGACTTCAGAAACAGGGAGATCTGAGTTAAGCCCTCTAACAACCAGAGTAGCTGACTGCTTAGCAAACAACCCCCAAATCCATGGCTTAACCCAAGCAAAGTTTATTCCCAGTGCAGTCAATTGGGAAATTGCTCCACACAGTCCTGCAGAGACCAAGCCCCCTTCCCCCCACGGGCTGCGCCCTCCTCCAGGTCCTCGGAGCCCTCCGCGCTCTGCCCCTGCATGTAGAAGCCCCTGAGAATTGCTCTTGGGAGGTTTGTATGGGCCGGGACTGAAGGCGACTCACATCTCTTCACTCGGACTCCGCTGACTACAGCTCAGTCACAGGCCACAACTAACTGCAAAGGAGACGGAGAAAAGTACTTTAACAATATTCTCAGAAAGAAGGAGGGGGCACCAGCAGCCCCCGCCACCCAGTCCCAACCCCAGAGCTGTCTTTCAGTTTCCCTAACACCCGCACCTGTGTCTAGATGAAGACCCCGCACTGCGGGGAGCCTTCTGGTGGGGAAATGTCAGTCAACACCACTGTTCCGTGTTCATTTCTATTCTTGATCCAAGTCTCTCAAACTGCTTTTTGGTCTTTCGGTTGTAGGTATTAAGCTTTCCTACTCACCAGCAAGAGCCTGCTCTTTCCTAAGACCAGTACTTCTCTCCTTTCCTCTCCCTCCACCCACCCAACCTTCTTCACCTGAGGGCCTGTCAGAATCCATTCTGAGGGTCAGCCAGCCAGTTGAGTGGTCATCAATGACTGTCGCACGCCTACTAAGTTGCTCTGTCAAAGTTATTTATTTATTTATTATTGTTCAAAATATTACAGATGTCCCTTTTTCTCCCCATGGACCCCTCCATCCCCCCCACCTCCCTCCCCGGTCCGGTCCCTCACCACACTATTGTCTGTGTCCTTGGGTTGTGCATAGATGCATATAAATTCTTTGGTTAATCTCTCCCCCTCCACTCACCCCTTCCTTCCCTCTGAGATTCACCAGTCTCATATATGCTTCCATGTCACTGAATCATTTCTGTTCATCAGTTTATTAAGTTCTTTAGATTCCACGAGATCATGTGATGTTTGTCTTTCTCTGCCTGGCTTATTTCACTTAGCATAATATTCTCCAGGTCCCTCCATGCTGTGCCAAAGGATAAGAGATCCTTCTTCTTTACAGCTGCGTAGTATTCCATAGTGTGAATGTCCCACAGCTTTTTTATCTACTCATCACTGATGGGCACTTGGGCTGTTTCCAGATCTTAGCTATTGTAAACTGCGCTGCAATGAACATCGGGGAGCATATATTCTTTCTGATTGGTGTTTCAGGATTCTTAGGATATATTCCTAGAAGTGGGATTGCTGGGTCAAAAGGCAGCTCCATTTTTAATCTTTTGAGGAACCTCCATCCTGTTTTCCATAGTGGCTGCACCAGAAAAGTAATTTTTTAAAAGTTAGGAACAGCTGTCATATGGGTATATATAGTGAACATCTGTCAAAGATCCGTGGACTCAAGAATGAGGAACCCAGCAAGATGACAAAGGTGGTGCAAAGGAAGATACCAGAGACCAAAGTCCATATGGTCGTTGGAAAAGCAAATGCTGGGAGAAGATCACAAAGATGGCCACACAAATCACCAAGGCCCCAGAAGGCAATAAAGTCGTAACTGTGAGTGTTCTCCTTTCTGCTGGACCGAAATCGTTTGTGCCTGGACCATAAAATAAATATTTGGCAACTTCTCCCTCTTCTGTAAGTCAGCATCCAACTTTAAAGAGTTGGGGCCTTACTACGTAGCAAATTGCACATCAAACAAATGTACGTGCCCCTGGAGCACACAGTGAGCTTGTTAAATAGCGATCTGATAGGATTTGAAAAGGCACCCTGTGACATTTGTTTTGCTTAAGGTTTGCATAATTTTTTTAATAGCTCTTCGGAGTGTGCCGAGTATGCCAGGCACAGAAAATCCAGTGATAAGTAAGACAAACACATTCTTGAATTTAATAATTATTAACAAGTATGATGATTATATGAAAGGAAAAACACCCAGGTTGCCGAGGGGGTTTATTGTAGAGGAAAACCAATAAACTGGAAAAGCAAGGAAGGACTTTAAAAGTGTGATTCAAACCAAGATAGAAAGACTGAGTAGTAGCTTATTGGTCCGAGAAAGTGAGGAATAGTAATCCAACCAGAGGGATCAGGCCTGTGAGGGCTGCAATATGGGGGGGAAAGCGTGGTGCGTTTAAAGAATTAAAATAAGACCAATCTGGATTAATTTGGAGACATAATTTGTGGGCAACTATAGTTCAGCCTGGAGTTGGAAATGTAGGCAGGACAAGCTCACATAAAGTCTTGTGGACTATCTTAAGGATTTTGGATGGTACCCTAAAAGCGGTGAGAAAGTTTTCAAGGAGGGGAGTGACCCCTCCAGCTTTGCATTTTGTGGGTCTACGTGGGCCCAAGTGAAGGGCGGTGGTTTTGGAGAGGAGACAAAGGAAGTAGTTACAGGGTCCCGGCAGGAATGGTGGAGGCCTGAACGGAGGTTAACAGCGAGAATAAACCCGTAAAGGACAGACTCAAGGTATTTGAAAGGAAAAATGGTCAAAAATTGATTATTGGATGTGAAGGAAGAGGGGAGGAGAGAAGTAAAACAGTAACTCCTGGGTCACTGGCCTAGGCAGCCAGATATCCAAATCCTTTCTAGAACGGGCTTCTTGGCATCATGGGTGGTGACCATGGCTAACAGCACGGAGTGAGCAAGCGCAGTGGGCATGGGCAGATGGCAATGGTAGATACTTAAAAAACCCGCTTTGCACCTCTTGTCTCCTGTGTGCCTTCCTCCTCCCTCCAGTTGCTGTGGGATCCATAGGATGCAAAAAGCCTCTCATTACTGCCTAAAATGTAAATAGCGAGGTAAGAGTTCTGTAGATGCTGTTTAAGAAGCCCAAGGACGGGCGATGGGGCTGAGCGACCACTCTAGAGTGTATTCTTTTTAGGTTCTGAACCAAATTTCTCAGCTTTGGGTTTTCCCACCGTTGGGCACAAATGCATCACTGTCTGAGTGTCACCTTGTACTCAGAAGTTTACTTGATCTTGTCCGCCCAGCACTGGGAGGGGCCTGCACTGACCGTCCCGTGCACTGCTGAAGAAACTAGGGCTGCGAGAGGAGAACTGACCCACCCCAGGCCGTGCTCCTGGTGATCGAACGGGTTAATAATCTAACCCAGCCTGCCTGCCTTTCTTTTAGGTTAAAATTCCCCTTTAGTCATTCTATTTTTTTAATATTATTTTTCAATTACAGTTGACATTCAATAGTATTCTGTATTAGTTCCAACCTGCCTGACTACAGATGGCATTTCTGAGGCTTAACCTTAGCCATGAGGTCAAGAAATGATAACATAAAAACTTCTGTCTAGGATTCTCGGGAGGCTTTTCCACGTAGCTCCCCTCCCCCCAGAGCCTCTCATAAGCAAAATCACACGCTTCAACACCCTCAGGCACAGCAAGTCTGAGGGCAAGGCGAGTGGTCCTGTGTAGGCTTTGCATCCTGTGGCACCCTCTCTACTTTCTTCCACCTCTCCTCCCCTCTCCCCCTCCCCCTCATCCCTTCTTTACCAGCAATATATTTTCCTGTCAAAACATACTTGGTTACACGCAGCGCAGCCAAAATTGCTGCTATTAGCCTAATTGAGACAGGGTGATTATAAGTAAATTACCCGCGGAGCTCTGACACTGTGCTATTAGTCTAAATCGAGACGGCGCGATCAGTCATCGCCAGCCGGAGCTTCATTCAGGGCGAATTCCACGAGGTGCGGAGGCCGTGGTCCCCCGGCAGCCCTAAGGATGCGAGGCCAGCTCCCTGAGAGGCGGCCTTCAAGGGTGCGGCTCCTTTCACTGGGAAGGGAGAGAGCAAAAGCCCAAAGCCCATGCAGCCCAGTTGATGGGGGCCCCTTGCAGGCTAATGATGAACTTCCAGTGCCTTTGAGCTGAACAGACCATGGTTAGAAACCACCCCATGGACAGAATCTGTGTACATGTGCGTTGATGTATCTCCATGGATGAATCTGCTGCCACTTTCCATAATGACTTGAGATGGAATTTTACTATTGTTTTTCTTTTTTCTAGCTATAAAAAACCCACACACAGTGGAAAACTTCAAAAACATAAATAGCGCGTGAGAATAAAACAGTTACTGTTTCTCGTTTTCATCACATTTGTTGGGCTTTGGTGTATTTCTTCCATCATTTCATTCATTTATATATTTATATATTCCCTCTGACATGCTTGACACCTACTGGATACACAATTTTATTGTAAGCTTTTTATCACTGATGGAAAAATGTTTAAGCTACCTAGACAAAGTACATCACAGATTGAAGGTAAAGAGAAATCGTCATGGGCCCCCCATTTCTGGAGGCGGCCTGATGAGGTGGAGATCCACGGTTTAAGGGAATTCTTCTCTTGTCTCTCTGAGTTTCAACTCTGAAACCTCCACTCACCAGCCTGGGCAGGACCAGAGAACCCGAGTGGAGGTCCTGGTTCTGCAGTTGAGAGTTCTTGGGCTCCCTGAGCTTCACCTTTCTCAGACCTAGTTCAAAATATAGAAATAGATGTTCCCCAAGACACCTTGTAAGTGCAAAAGTCTATACTCCATACTTAGGGCCTGTTTAAGCCATNGCTCCCTGAGCTTCACCTTTCTCAGACCTAGTTCAAAATATAGAAATAGATGTTCCCCAAGACACCTTGTAAGTGCAAAAGTCTACACTTCATACTTAGGGCCTGTTTAAGCCATTACTACTGACTGTTAAATAAGACTGGAGGGTGAGGGTGACTGTCACAGTCAAGCTGTAACGATTGACAACCATGAAATTTATACTTTGAGTTCTCAGTATGGAGATGTGTTCTTCACTTAGCCCAAAAGATGGGTTCATAAAAAGGTATGTTAGTACTGCTTGGAAATCAAATCATGGTGCCCAGTTTTTTTTCTTTGTTTCTTTAAAAAAAAAAAAAAATCTTTATTGATTTCAGAGAGACGAAGGGAGAAGGAGAGAGAGAGTTGAAACCTCAGTGATGAGAGAGTCATTGATCGGCTGCCTCCTGCGCGCCCCCCGACTGGGGATCGAGCCCACAGCCCGGGCATGTGCCCTGACCGGGAATCGAACTGTGACCTCCTGGATCCTCAGTTGATGCTCAACTGCTGAACCACACCTGGCTGGCCCTAGTTTTCTTATCACATCATCTCAAAGCAAATTATCATCTCCCAGAAGATACAGACCCAATGGTAGTTTTAACTTTTCAGATCCCTGAGCTTTTCTACCTGCAATAAATGATTCAAAACCATGCAGTGCTCTAGGGAAAACAGGAGTTATACTTTGCAATGATCATGTCATAGAATATTTTCTAAACTAATAATTACTTAACTTATCTGGAATTTAGGTTTTGAATGAAAAAATGTATGGTAATTTTATTTTTCCGGTGTGAAACATTTGGATTTCTCTATTTCTCAAAACATATACACATAAGTGAGATCATACAGTATTTGTTTTCACTCTCTGACTTATTTCACTTAGCATAATACGATCAAAGTCCATCCATATTGTCAGAAGGTTTTCTCTTCTGTTTTATGGCTGAATAAATACATATAAACAATGGAATATTATTCATTCACCTATCATGAACCTTCCTTAGGTTGTTTCCATGTCTTGGTTGTTGTGAATGATACTGCAATTAACATGGGGTGCAGATAGCTCTCCAAAATAGTCTACCTTACAAATTTGTTGTGAGAGTTATAAATAAAATACATTTCTAGCACACACAGACTGGCACATAATAGGCATTCAATAAATGGTATTTTAAAAAGTTGCAGTGGCAGTAAGCGTGTACTGTTTGTCTAGCAGGGAGTTAGGAGGCAGTGCCAGACACTTTCCATCAGTCAGTCATTTAGTGGGTGGTGTATATCTTCCATTATAGATGCCCACCCTACGGGCTTGGCCTAACGTAGCAAGTTTACAAGTTAGAAATGCTATGGATCAGATTTCTTTAAAACCTGTACACTGTTTGCACTTTCGGATCCCACGGCACAGGGGCTCACACTGAATTGAAGGTGTTGCTAATGGTGTCCCTCATCATATTGTGGGAGAGCCTACCCTTGGTTTAACGGAGACTTTATTTTCAGGGTACAATCAAGGGAAGGAGCGGTGCACTGTCCGAGCTCAAGGGCTCCCATCCAAAGCGTGCATGGATATGGCAGGCCTAGTCCTCCCACCCCCCTCCAAAGCCTCGAGATAACAAGGGCCTCCTTTCTCCTAGGGTTTTAAAGACCCCGTGTACCGTGCAAGACGCAAGTACTTTGCTGACATAGCCTACAACTACCGCCAGTAAGTCTGGGCCGATTGCGGGGGGGGGAGCCCTCCCCTAGCCTGCCTCTCCCTTCCCAAGGTTGGAAAATACCAGCATGGAGAGTCCTGCCGTGCGCGTGTGTGTGTGTGTGTGTGTGTGTCCCTTTAATAACACCTGTTAAAAAATGCCGCTAGACAAAACAAAATTCCCCGCTGCTGGGGCCCAGCTCCCTCCCAGGCTGTGCTGTGTAATTAGGCAGTGACGTCTGAAATATTATGACGGGCCTCGGTGCTGAACAGAAGAGCCTCTGGTATTCTCCACACTGGCCGTGGAAGGAGGGGAGAGAATCATTTACAGCCAGGGGCCGGCCGCTGTGCTGAAATGAGGCATCTCGGAGGGCCCGCGCCGGCCTCCCGCCTTCTTCCATCCCGCCTGACCCCGCTGCGGGGCAGTTTTCTCAGGAGCCTTTTTCCCGGTCTGGGATGCCGTGCTCCTCCTCTGCTTTCTTTTAGCCAAAGGAATATGCAGATGTTAAATGTGTTATTTGCAAGAGAGCTGGGTGCTATTTTGAGTCCTCAGGAACCTCAGAGGGGCCCCATGGGAAGCTTAGTGTCTGGGGGCTGAGCTCCATTCCCGAGTTGAGGGCGTGAGGAAAGGTGAACACAGGGAGAAACCTAGCAGCGGACCGGACCACCGAGCAACGGTTCTTTAACACCTGGATAGGATAGAGGGAGGTAAAGGAGATGGCAGGGCTCTGCATACTGGGGGCAAAGTCACCTTCCAAATGGGAAAACTTCCTCCTCTGAATGACTCCTTGTAACGGAAGGATCCAGAACCATGCTGACCTTGGCCTAGCGCACGTGGGTTTTGGCTTGTGGCGGCAGGAATCACAGACCATGGCGACTTCTCTCTCCTGTTCTTACCTTTGCCCCAGCATGGTCAGGTGGGTGGGCACCATCAAGTCAGGTACAGATAAGAGCCCTTCTTCAGCTGATCAATAATAATAGATCACATTTACTGGGATTAGCTCCCTGCTATATCTGGGAATTTGCTAAATGTCTCTGTACATTATTTCATTTTGTCTTAATAGTAACTCCCCATTTTCCCAATGGGAAAACTACAGCTTAAAACAGTTAAGTAACTTGGCAAAATCATATACCAGTAGGCGGCATGCTCTGGTTTTGAACTCAGGCTTGTTTAACTCCAAAGTCATTCTCAGTCACTTCCCTGGGTGTCTGGGGACAATCAGAGTCAGCAGACTGCACTTCTCCATAGATTTCACTCTATGCCGGTTTCTCTCTTTCCTTTCTGTGGCTCCTTCTCAGTCTCTTCTGGCCAATTCCCCCCCCACGCCAGAAACAGTAACATCTTCCAGGACTCAACTTTGGCCCTTTTCTTCATCTTCCACCAGCCTCCATGCCAACAGCACCCACACTGGGGTTTCTAGCTCCTTCCCAATAATTGCTCCACATGGGGATCAAACTTGTGCACCATGAACCATAGAATCCCAGCATATTGATCGGTTGAGAAAGCGTATCTCCGAATAGTTAGCCCATGTAAGAGTGACACAGACTAGGCGCAGAGAGGTTTACTAACTTGTCCAAGGCCATCCGGCTATGACCTGGCACAGCCAAAAGTTGAACCCAACTCTCTTTGTTTCCAAAGCCTGTCTAATGGTGCATCCTTAGGCAGGGGTTTACCTGATGCCCCTTTCCAGTCCCTGCTGGCATCACAGGACCTTCTGAGCTTGTCTTGCTTTTAATACTTAAGCAAAAATCTGTCTCTTCCCCCTGATCCCTGCCCAACTTCCTACAGACCATAGCAGTGACTTTGCTTTCCTGACCTTGGATGAGCTGCAGTTCTGAAAAGGCAGGAGTGACCTAGTTTGGAGCCAGATGACTATAAGCCATGATTCTGAGATAAACAGTCTCTCCTGGTCCCAGATGCTGAATATCCTGTTAGGAAACAGGCCTGCAGCCCACAGAACAGTCACTGGTCTTCAAAGTCAGGCTTTCTTGGCTTTTATTTTATTTCACTGTTCAGAACACAGCTCATTCTTAGATAGTTTTCCAAAGCACCTTTCAACCTAAGGACTCTGAAACTATTATATCATGTTGCCTGGGAGCTTATTGGAATCTAGATGCCTGGGCCCTCCCACCCCCACAGATTCAGGATCCACGGGGCAAGTCCAACATATGTACTTTACCAAGCTCCCTGCAGTTCTGTTATGTCATAGTGGAAGACACCAAGTAAGCAGATCTGATACCTCGCATGTGTTTAAACACTTTTATAACTTCCCAGGGGCCGAAATATCAATTCTAGCAAGTACATCCCACTACACTAGGGTCTCCAACTCATGGTGCACATGTCCAATCCTCTCTAGCCCACAAATCATTGCTTTAGTTCACATAATACAGAACTGTACCTGAAATTCGATGCTTTTGTTTCAAAAGAGGATGCACTCTTCAGTTGTCTCAACCCCACCCTCCTATTGCCTATATCTACTACTTTACACATTTACTTTCCCTCCCTGGCCCCAAGGTAAGTGGATTTCCACCTCCCCTAAACAATTAGGCAGATGAGAGAGCAGAAAGGCCTAGTGGTTTCCCCCTGTGACAGCAGATCCTTGGTACAGCTGATGAGGTGAGACCTTGCGTTGCTGCTTAACCAAATCGGTTGACTATTTCCTACATCAAGAAGTGGAATTTTCCCCTTTCAAACAACTTGTGAAAACCACGGGAGTCCGGGTGGTGGCAGCTCTCAGAGTCTGGACCCATGTCCCTCTGCTAACGCTCCTTCACCCGGCCCGAGGCAAACACCTCATGCGTGTGTTCCAGTGGGCAGCCCATCCCGCGAGTGGAGTACACAGAGGAAGAAAAGAAGACCTGGGGCACGGTGTTCAGGACTCTGAAGTCCTTGTATAAAACCCACGCTTGCTACGAGCACAACCACATCTTCCCGCTTCTGGAGAAGTACTGTGGCTTCCGCGAGGACAACATTCCCCAGCTGGAGGAGGTCTCCCAGTTCCTGCAGAGTAAGTCACGTCGGGGCCAGAGGTAAAGGGGCGGGGGGGCAGCGAATGGAGGCCCGTGTGACTGTGTGGGTGGCAGTGCTCGCGGGGTGACGCTCCCAGGAAAAAGGCCGTGTCGCTGCTCAGCTCTCCCCCCCTTCCAGCCTCCACGGTAAATCCGCGCTCATCGCCACCCCCCATCTAAAGGCACCAGGCATGGATTTTGCCTTTTCGATGCCCCTGAAACGTTTTTGTTTTTTCACACTCAAAGCCCAGGTTGCCCAGTCACTGTGCTCTTTGTAACCCTGCTCTGTCATGAGATGGCTGCAGTGTGCCTTGCGTAAGAAATGTGTTAGTTGTGGGCAGTGCTAAGAGCCCCGAGCGCTACGTCTGTACACCCATCCGGTATGAATTTTGCTTTGACTTTCTCTGGTTGGGCAAACCTGCCTCACTTTTGTCACCTGTCCCATGGACTCTGAGCCGGCCTTTCAGCCTTTCTCACAGGGCAGTTATGAGAATGAAGTAAGATGTTGGGTGTGAAAGCCNACCTGTCCCATGGACTCTGAGCCGGCCTTTCAGCCTTTCTCACAGGGCAGTTATGAGAATGAAATAAGATGTTGGGCGTGAAAGCACCCAGCATAGGGATGCATATACAGTAGGTGCTCAGGGCATTTGGGCGAACTTGGCCTCTGAGTACCTCAGTGGGGAACTACATCATCGGGGTGACTGGCCTCTCACGTCACTTCCAGGGAGATAAGTGTTTTCTCTGCCAGGTGTTGTTCATTCAGCAAAACCAAGTTATAACAATCAACTAACCCATGGTAAACACCTACTATGTGCCAGGTAGAATGAGGGAAAGTGGGAAGACAGACCACGCAGGTTTATAAAAATGAACTTTCCATGCCTCTGAGCTATGTGGAGATGGTATGGTCAGCCCTGGGGCAGGGAGCCACGGAAACTGTGTGGCCAGAAGGGAAGTGGCAGCTGGGACTGATTGAGGG